TCAAATCAGTTGCTCGAGCTTTGTCTCCCTCAATTTCTCCGTTTTTCATTTTTTTTTCTTGGTGGTTCTCGGCCAAACTGCCGAGAGAGAGAGGGAGAGAGAGAAATCTGGAGAGAGAGCAAGGGAGAGAGAGAGAATGCCGGTGGGAGAAAGCCCCGAGAAGGAGGTGGCCGGCGGTGGAAGAAAATAGAGAGAAAGAGGGGCTGGTGCTAGTGGGAACTAGAGAAGAAGGAAAGAAAAAAAAGAAAAAGGAAAAAGAAAAGAAAAGGAAAAGAAAAAGAAAAATGGAAAAAAGGGAGAATGCATTAAAATTTAAGTGTATTTTTAAAAACTTTTGGGGTGAAATTATAAATACTGAAAATAATTTAAAGTCCATTGATTAATTGTGAAAATTAAATTAGGCACACTAATAATTCACAGTTTAGCATAATTAAACATGTTTAATTCTGGAGGGCGTTACAATATTAATCCCTGACTACTTTGATATTACATTAGATTCTTACTTGCGTAATATTTTGAACTGTTTCAAGTCTTGAAATTAATTCTAGACTAAACAAATTCTAAATTTAGATTTCTGCATTATATCCCGAGAATGACATTGTTTCTAACGGTGTTAACTCCCGAGCTCACATCGTACCTTTCTACTATAGGTATTTATCTTGTGACTTCAATCTAGCTGTCTGGCAATTAAGGATTTTCTCTTCTTTTAAAATGTCATAGTGGTTTTTTTATACGCTGCTAACATCATACTGTGTTTGGAGATTCTTAGAATTAAGATTCTCAAACTACATATGTACTGAAAATTCTTCTGCCTTAAAGTACGGCGAGAATTTATCGATCGAATTTACTTGATCGTAAAACATGAACTTAGCATGAAATCTGCTACATAATTTAGGAATATAGATGTTAATTCCATAAATCCTTTAGTCAGAACATAGTATTTTCTAGGAAAATCCTTGGCTTAAATACATAAATTGTATTATTTAAAGTCTGGAATTTTCTCAGTCATTACAGTAAGTGTGTTAAGTTGTAATTAACTAATTATCATGTTATTATTAAAAACATATAAAATTTGAATATAAAATCTCAATGAGAAACCAAAATGAGAAAAAAAAATAAGTTTTAGGGCAAGAAGCCAAGATAAAGTCAAAAACTGACTAAAATGAATAAATAAATATTGTTTTAAGACAAAAGGAACCAAAGCGAACAAATAAAGTTTTAGGGAAAAAATAAAAAAGGGTTAAAAAGACAAAAATGAAGAAATAACTAAATTTGAGAGTAAAAGGAGCCAAAACAAAAAATAATAATAAAATTTTTGGAAAAACTAAAAAAAAAGAGTCAAAAAAGGAAAAAGAGGATAAATAAATAAATTTTAAGCCAAAATGAGCCAAAATGAAAAAAAAATAAAGTTTCAAGTAAAAAATAAAAAAAAAATGAGGTCAAAAAAAGAACTAAAATGAAGAAATAAATAAGTTTTAGGCAAAAAGAACAAAAAAAGGGAAAAATTCAGGAGAAAAAGTAATAAAATAAAATAAAATAAGACAAAGAAATAAATAAATAAGTTTTAGGGCAAGAAGCAAAGAAAAATTGTTACTAAAAAACCAAAAACGAAAACCTAATAAATTTTAAGGCAAAAGGAACCAAAATGAAAATGAAAAAAAAAAATTATGACAAAAAGAAAAAAATAAAAAGTTAAAAGGACTAAAATAAAAAAATGAATAAGTTTTAGAATGAAAAATAAAAATAACCTAAAATAAAATACTCAAAAAAAAAAAAAACAGAGAAAGTTGTGCACTTTCAACTAAAACTACGTCGTTTTAGTTAAAAGTGTACTATTCAAAATACACTTTCTCACTTCAATTAACACTAAATGAGTAATAAACAAAAAAAAAAAAAGGCAAAAAGGAAAGAAAAAAATTAAGAAAGCTTTTTGAGAAGTTTTCTAAGGCATTTAGTATATATAACAGAGCTATAGATATATGTAACTACTGAAATTATAGTGCACCAGGGCAAAGCAAACAAAGTTCTTATTTGGACTTGATAGCAAAGCTTCTTATTTGGCGACATTATGAAAGTCAAATTTGTTTGTGCTAAATACAGTCACTATATTTTGACATTCAGTTATCTAATAATATATATATATATTCAAACGAACATTGCTTTCACAAACTTAGTTTCCTTTTTCTCTTATACCGAAAATCTGTCAGACATTCACATAGGCGGTGTTTGGAGTTGTTTTTGTTAAAAATTGAAAACAGAAGAGAAATGACGTTTGACAAAATTAAAGATAAAAAATAAAAATAAAAATGATTTTTTAGTTTAATATGAAATAGGAGAGAAATGAAAAACGACTTTTCCGTTTTCTCCTCTCTGAGTAGAGAGATATTAATGAATTTTTTATACTGAAAATAAACTCTTGATAAAACTACCAAACACATTTTCAAAAATAATTTCTGTCTGCGATTGAAAACGTTTTCATTTCTATTTTCATATAAAAAATAAAATCATTTTGGAACGAGTTCTAAACGCAACGTTTTTATTTTCATTTTCATATAAAAAAATAAAATCATTTTGAAACGAATTCTAAACGCAGACTCTTTATCATCATTAAATTGCCCATTGACAACTTTTGCATGTCAGCAAAAATAATAATATAAATTGAAAGAATATTGCTCACAATCCATTGGAAATGATATTGCTGACTAGTATTACAGCTACATATTTCCACTCATTGTCGTTCTATAATATCTACAAAATTATTTTCTGAATTAATTGGATTTCTTGTAGACAATCAAAGGATCCTACAAGGGATAATTTCTCACATGATGCGCTCAATAGTGAGCCTCTATTGTACTAAGGATGACAATGGGATGGATTTTCAAGTAGTTTTCTTATCGTGAACAAAAATACGGTCATATTAACCCGTATAAATTGAAGAAGCATGAAAAGAGTTTTCTTGTCATGAATTTAAGTACTCACAAATGCTCTATTTACCCGGTTAGTAAAACTCAAATACATAAAAGAAAGCTCCACTTGTTATACTGGTAGAGGCCAATATGGTATTGTAGAAGGCGGATCGTCTGATCTTACCAATCTGACCTATAGAATAAAAGCATAAGCTTTTAGATAATGGTATCTCATTGTTATATGTTCAACAACATATCATGTTCTCAGAGTGTGCTAACAAACTAACCGAGATGAAAACCTGTTCTTTACTTCTTTTTTTTTTTTTTTTTTTTTTGATAATCTTAACAAAATTTTATTGGAAAAAAGATTAAAACAAGGGTATGACAGGAGACAAGGCGTCCACTTAAACAAACAAAGGCACCAGCAACAAGCTAAAAACAAAACACAAATCTAATGAAGAACTAAATCCCATCCTCTAAGCAAATCCGAAAAGGAATGAGCAGTGAGGCCTTTTAACTTGAAACAACCATACTACTTAAAAAACTAATAATAATAAAATAAAATAAAAATAAAATTTTGAGACAATCATAAAGCCACACAAAACTTAATTACGTCCCAAACTACATTAGCATCTTCCTCTGTGTCCTCAATAATTCGATTGCTCCTCTCTAACCAAAGAGCCCAAGTAACACAGGTAGCAACATTCCAAAGTCTTCTCCTTCTACTATCCACAAGATCACCATTGAAGATTTCCGCAACAGCTTTTGGGATCACCCATGAAACTTCAAAGTCAGGTAAAACTCGTTACAAAATGCACAGGGAAAAGGGACAATATAGGAATAGATCAACAATTTCGCCATTTTTTCTACGAAGAACACACTAATTAGGAGACCAAAATAAATGAGGCTTTCTTCTTTGCAAAAAATAACGTGTTAAGTTTTACTATAAACAAGTAGCCAATTAAACACCTGAACTTTATTAAGACTCGAGGCTTTCCAAATAAAATGATAATTTTAGGAGGAATTATTCAGTACACTGCCACGTCATATTGTTTATGTAGTACACCTGACCAATGAGATTATATCATTTAACACACCCATCCAATAAGTTTTTCACTTTTATTTTTCTCTTTCCTAATAGATATTCAATGCAAATACATATTAGGAAAGAGAAAAATAAAAGTGGGGGACTTATTAGACGGGTGTACTAAATGATGCAATCTCATTGGCCGAGTGTATCACATAAGTAATATGACGTGATACACCAAATGTACTGAATAATTTCTTGAATTTTAGATTATTATCACTAGTGCCCTTGAACATTAGAGTCATTTTCGGTTTGTTCTTTGAAATTTAAAAACTCTCACTTTGCCCTTTAAACTTTAAATTGTTCTCACTTAACCCCTTCTATTTCAATTTCTGTTAAAAATCAAATAGAAAAAAAGGAAGTTAAGTGTTACCATGTGGTTCTTATATGTTTGTTTCTAACAGAAATTTAAATAGAAATACCACGCGATTGCATTACTCTCTTTTTTTCTATCAATTTTTAACAGAAATTACAACAAAAATGATTAAGTGAGAACAATTTAAAGTTTATAGAGTAAAATGAAAATTTTTAAAGTTCATGGACAAACCGAGAATGACCCTAACATTCAATGAGTACTAGTGATAATAATCCTAGAATTTTAAATCAAAAAGAGAATGAATGTCAATCATGAAGTTGAAGTAAGACTTGAAAACAGTCCACGACCCTCAAGATGCCAAACCATCTATCTAACAAACTCGCATTCAGCCTAACCCCTTCCAAGCTACCCAGAAGCACCAAATCCTCAACACGTGTCAATGTATATATGTTGAGTTAAGAACAGGTTTTCCGGTGTTCAGATGAAAACCTGTTCTTAACTCAACATAGATACATTGACATGTTAGGTCAAATCATTCAAGAGTATGGAATATGGTTACACATACAGGGTAGAAATAAACAGGGGATAAATTACAACAACAGGCGTAATAACTGAGGTCAAAGATGTCATTGGAGGAAATAGTAAAACGGCTAGAGTGGAGAACTCATCATGGAATTCCACATGAAGAAATTTAACTGGCTTTTTTTGACATGTTCAGTATAGATTCCAAATTCCAGATCTCTTGGCTGTCTTGTGAATCAGCAGCATTCCCTTGCGAAAAATCAGCATTAGTGTAAGTTCGGATTCCACCTAGGCCGTGTCCTCCGCAATCCCTTTCCCTTCCTTGCTGAGCCCTTCTTACTTCCTTCTGATGCTCGGTTAATTCTAACCTCTTCCTTTTCAAGTTTAAACATGCCTTGTCCTTGTGCTTAGTATGATTCATGGTATCCTTCAATAACTCTATCCTTTTTGAAGACTTGTTATCTGTTGCATTTTCCGTGAATTTTTCTGGGGGAGTGTTGGCTCCTAATCCAGAATCACATCTTTTAAGAAATGGCGGGCTTCTCTTGTGAAGGTTTATTCTTCCATTTCTTGTTAGCTTGTCTAAGACATGAAGCAAGTTTTGAGGATAATCCAACCTAATCTGATCACCATATGTTGAATTCCAAAAGGATATGGTTGGCTCTGAAATGGTTGGATTGGGATGAGCCAGAGTTTTCTCAAGAAGAGGCGATTGGAGTTTGAGAAAAGCCGAATCAAAGATTAATGGCGGCTCACTTCTCCTCAAACAATTCATGGTCTCCGTCCATATGAGTTGAAATTTATGATTGATGCTCTCATCTTGCATCTCTATTTGTGCCAGCCATTGGAGCAATGGAGAGGAGAATATCTGAAAGGAAATAAATAGGAAAACTAGATTGCTGAACCAGAAGCATAAATTGAAAATAAAAACTAGGATTTGAAGTTTTGTAATGAAATTCTTCAAAACTTATCCAGCAAAAAAAAAAAAAAAAAAAAGAAAAAAAAATCCATTGTCACATTGGTACAATGTTGTGTATGTGTGTGTGTCGAGAGAGAGAGAGAGAGAGAGAGAGACATTGACATATGAGATATATATATATATATATATATATATATATGTGCGCACACATATCTTAATTTCATGTGACCAGGAAAATTCAAAGGGAGCATGCTAAATCATATGAGACATACAAACCTCAACGAATGACAGAATATCTTGCTTTAAGTGAAGGCAACTGATGCAGTGTGCCAATGCGGAATAAAACCTGAATTCCATCCACAGGGGAGACAGATGGGATGAAATTAAAAATGTAATAGTACAAAAATGAGGGGTACGAGATGGCTAACCTAACTTACCCAGAGGCCATATCAAGATTATGGTCTTTTCCTGTCTTTGTCTGTAGCAACCTCATAAAGCTGTACAATGCCATACAAAACATGATAAGTGACAATTGAAAGAGACAAAAGACACGTATAGAACAATATCCTGCCCCTAGCTTATATTGATTGAACTAATAAACCAATTCTTTAAATAAAAACTTTCAGATAACGACATTATTTTTGGGCAAGTCTTCAAATACATGAATGATGAATCAAATTTATTTCTTATATATTTAGTATCGCAAGGGTGGTTATTCTAGTTTCCCTAACCCCAAGTTGAGAAAATTACTGTGAATCACATATACAAGGCATCTTTTCATAAATATTTTAGATGATATCGAAGATGAGAAAAGGAAAACGAAACTTGTCTGAGATAGTCGTCATCAATCCTTCAGACTGAAAGCTCATTTAGGACTTTTAAAATGGTAAACTACTGCTAGATTTATATTCCCACTAATCAAAATATCAGCTCTACAGAATATCTAATAAAATCAAAGAAAATATTAGGCAGTGGTAAATGCGCATAGATTATGGAATTAGGGGCAGCAACGTTTGCACCTACCTAATAGCCAATGTCAATCGACTGTTCATGCCGGACAATATCTTGAACTCGCTTGTGTTACTCATATGACAGTCGTTCGTATCCAGTCTTAATTCTGAAGATTTCGACTTTTCCAGAACAAAAATCACAATACTCCCATAAAAGGAAATGTTATCAAGATGTAGGTCCTTATGGCTTGCCTCAAGCTCATTGGCAGACTCAAACATGCTTGTGTACTTGTTAAGCCACCCATCTAACATATTACATAGATATTCAGAAAACTTATTAGTGATGAAGCACTCAAAGAGAGAGCCATAAAGTGACTTCCACAGTTCAATAACTTGTTCCAACTCAAGCTTTTCCTGTAGTGGAACATGAGAATCTTCCAAGGAGCCACTGATCTTTGCTGATATCAAATCTTTCCAGTGCAAATGGCATATGACGAATGGGTAGCATAAAAAGTTGCATGTGGCAATGCAAGCACTTCTGTGATCCATTGTAAATGACAAAATATTCTTTATATCGCCTATGCAATCTTTCAGACCTTTTGCTAAAGCTGACCACATCCTTAAACAGCTTAGCCCTGAGAGTTTAAACAATAATCCAACAGTGATGATGAAATTTTCTAGGGGGTCATAAGATAATAATAGAATTTTAAAATACTTTTCTATTGCCTTCAGCATGAAATCAGCATTGGAAGTGTTCAAATTTGACTGTGCCATGACATAGAAGTAGAGCACAGTCAAATAAACTGTTGGTGAAACCATATCCATATAAGTTATAGAGCACATCTCTAAAAATTTTGCATTTCTAGTCTCATCAGCAACACTCTGGCTTTCAATATACTTGAGATCTAATGCCATCTTGTAAAGAGGAGAACCCAACATAGCAGGTTCTATCTCCTCGCTGACAATCTCTATGAGCTGAAGTGAAATACCATGTAAGTCATCTCTATCACTACCTTCAGAAGTTTCTTCACATAAATCCTTCACAAATTTTAAAATTGAAGTCAAACCCAACAGAATAACATCAAAAGTAGTGGATGACTTTTTCAACTCCATTTGGACTCCTTTTGAAACAGATCTAAATAACCTTAAGGAGGCGGCATATGCTAAACTTCTTTTATCCCGAGAGAAAGATGTCTTTGAGGCTTGATTGATTAGAATGTAAATAATCTTCAAATGGAAGTCCAAATGAGTCAGTTCCCATTGCAACCATTTAATAGGATACCGCCGCTTCCATGAGCACTTTGTGAAAGTTTCAGTTATGGAGGCTGTACCTGACAAATGATGGCTCTCCAGACCAGATGTCTCCTTGTTCACATCTCTACACTTTGCTAAAATTGAGGCATTGAGAAAATCTATGCACTGGTTCCACAACCAGATGCTCTTACAATCAGGACCAGTTTGAAAAACTGCTTCATAAATAGGCTCTAATACCAGCTGTTTCACTGGGGAACAATTTACAAAGGAGTCTAATTTATGTAATAGATTACACCACGTGTTGAAGCATGAAGCATGAACCGATGCATCACATTTACTCGACATGACGCCTATTAGAGGCTTCATAATCAACTTCACACTTTTTGAAAATCCATTTGCTTGGATGTCACTATTTTCCCATTTAGATATTCCCATTCGCTCACAGCAACCATTCTCTACAGATGCATTCCTCTTATAAGGTAATATTGCAGGGGAAATTAGTGCATCAATTAGGCCTTCCCATGCAACCTGCAGTGTTAGTGCATCTAACCATGTTAAAAAATTACAAGGATCATTACAATTTTAAATAGTTCCATAAGAGCACCACAACACTTAATCACATAGGATTAATGTAGTTTTTATCAGTTATAGCCTTCTTGGTTTGTCGCTATCACCTCAATATTCAATCACATAAGTCACTAAGGTCCCGTTCGTTTCGCTCATTTAAGTTAAGAACTTGAGTTGAAAAGTGAATATATCTGAGAGAAAATACTGTAACAGAAAAAGTTGAATTTGAATTTTTGTGAGGAAAAACACTATAGCAAAAAGTTTGAATTGTGATTCAAACGGTCAAACGAAATAACTTGCCTTAGATGACAAAATTTGTCTCAAAAAAAGCACCACAAAAGTGAAATGTGACTAAAGAAATGACTCTAAGACATCTAGATTTCTCTAACAAATATTGTACAGCAACCGACTGTATTGAAGAAATACATATATATAACTGGTGGTGTAGGAAAGCACAATCAACAATTTGGAATACCTGTGAAGCTATTTGAAGTTGTGGATCATGGTCCGCAAATGTATACTCGGGGATCTTAAGCATGTCATTAATTAATTTCCTGTTCTTCAATGCATAGGATCCCAGTAACTGGATAAACAATCCCCATGCACGAATGGTCTGAATTTTCATACCACGATTAAGTAAAATTTTCATCCTTGTAAGCAATGTTTGCTTCATATCTTTTACAAGTGCCTGTTTAGGAGAGAACAAAAAAGTATATAGCGAGATCACGAACAAAATAATGAGCCATGTACTATGTCATTAGATGCAATCAGAAATTCTGAGATGACCATCAACATTGAATAACCATAAGGAAGATACTTGTGACCTTAGATTGATATTGTCTAATAATATAGATGAGACGCACTCGCACAAAAATAGAGAGAGAAAGCTCGAAGCCTAAGTTTTCATTTTAATATCATTTTCTTCTGTGGTTAAATAATGGACCAACAACTACATATAATTCTTCCAGCTCTGTTCCCTTCCTCTTTCAAAGTAAATTTCTAGATTCTCGAGGCTTTCATATTGCAAAATAAGACAGATAATAACAGAAACCATTTTTATCCGTACCTTAGAGAGATTTGATGAAGGGGGAACTATTAGAGATCTAATCTTCAATAGACACCTTTCTGACACATCTCTTTCTCTCTTATCAGAGCTGAGAAGTCTTCTATAAATTGGTGGAGCCCATACATGAGAGAAATCTCTCATCTTCTCATGTAATTGAATTGCTAACCTCATCACAGCCTGTCATGATAACATGTGAGCGGAAAATACTAGTGAATTTTCATGGCAACATGACTGCAAAGCATGAATTCACAAGAACTTTTAGGAAGAAATAGCCCAATACTTATTTTGGAAATAGGAAAATAGAAGGCTGTTATATTGATTATTATAAAGTATAATGCAACAAGATATATAATGCAACAAGACACGACACAAGTAATAACCATATGCCTGCCTAGTTAATTTTCTCATAATGGGAATGCGTGTTCATATTTAACTATTTGCAGTGGAGAGCGTGGAAAAAAATCACGTGGCTTGGAAAATGCTTCTACCTGCATGGACTCAAAACTTGTTGACAAGGAACCAAAAGGATTGTCAAGGCCATGGACAATTGCTTGCAACAGAAAATTGAAATGAGAAACAAGTACTGGCTCATTGAATTGTTGGATGGATATGCACCATACTCCCAAGTTACAAACTGACTGCAAGCATTACATAAGACCTTCAAATCAATCATCAAATAAAAAATAAAAATAAAAAAAGAAACTCTAGTAAATAATTTCATTTAAGAATAAAATTAGTACCTTCATTTTCGTGGTTGTGATGAGTTTAACCAGTGACTCCAAAACCAAATTGGCTCCCTCCACTATGACACATGAAAAGATAAATAAATAAATAAAATAACATAACAGCACAAAACGCATTGTAGAAAAGGAAAAAAGAATCCGACCTGCCAGATTTGAACCAGCGACCTAAGGATATCTGATGGTAATATTAACCAACTACAGTCCTCTCTACCAACTGAGCTAAGGTCAGTTTGCACAAAACGCGTCGTCAGTGATGGACAAGCAAATACACAATATGACTGCTTGGCTTGGTTTCTTTTAAGCACAACTACTTTGGATTTAAAATTTGAGGAGTAACAAATTAACAAGCACAGAAATGTATTATAATCAACAATGCACACAAACCACTTCCTCAAATTGTATCGCTCTCAAAACCCATTAGAGACCAGTTAATACTCAAAACTCACAAACCATTTCTCAAACAAAACTCCATCCCAATTCCAACTTAATCGATGAGAAGCATAAATCCTATGTGTGTGCTTTGTTTATTTTTGTTTTTTTTCTCATTTTTATTTTCCCTTTTGCTCTTGGATAGTAGGATTAGGGATTTGAATTACTAACAGAAACCATAGAAGTAAAAATGATAAATTGTGACAATACATACTCGAAATCGCGGCAACAAGGGATGGATGATACATCATGAATCCCAAACATTTCAACGCCTGTCCTGCACTGAAAAAAAAAAAAAAGGAAAAGAAAAGAAATCTACTCAATTCCTCATTCCCTGAGTAGGTAAAAGCAAATATTAAAATTCTCCAAATTTTATCTATATTTGTGTAAAATGACTATGAAAGAATTCATAAATAAGCATGCATGTATATTTTTACAAATGAGAGATTTTTACCCAAAAAAAAAAAAAAAATCCCCATGTATCGATTGAAAATTTCTTTAAATTCATACTACCGATTTTTCCATCAATGCCGCTATTCAATCTACAAATCCAAAAATATATCGGGAAACAAACAGATCCGAAAGAAAATAGTAAAACCAAATTTCAAAATTGCAATTACATTTCTTCGTCTTGATTGTGAACATCGGCGACGATTGGCGGGATTAGGATCGGAATACTGTGAGCTAGGGCCTGGAACGGAGCAGGGCTGTGAGTGGACTGCTCTTGGAGATACAAGAGAGTCGAGTAAGCCAAGGGATTGTTGGTGGTGCCTGAAGAAATTAGGGTTTTGATTTCTTCGAGCTGGTCTGAGAAATTTGACATCGTTGAACTAAGAAGAAGAAGAAGAATTAGTACCGATTTGAAATCCCTAATGTGGAGAGGAGACTATGAAGTGATAAAAACTTTCTCGAGAAGTTTCGCGCCAAAATCAACCTTCTAATTCGAGTTTCAATTCAAATTTTATTATACTTAAAAACTTTTATAAAAAGTCAAATTAAATTTTTTCTGTTATAATAAAAAATTTTCACATAAAATTATATTTTAACTCAAATTAAAAACCTAAATTAATAAACTGAACGAGACTTAAAGTGATTAAAAACTTTTTCAAGAAGCATTTATCTTTATCTTAGCGCGGATTCATTTAAAATAATAATTTTAGACATTATTTTTAAAAAAAAAGAAAGGATGGAAAAAAGAACATAAAAAAATAAAAATAAAAAAAGATATGAATTACAAGACAAAAAAAACTTATAAATAATTTAAAAAATTTTATAAATGATTTATTTATAAAATAATTTATAAAAAAATTAAATAATTTTTAAATAATTTATTTTTTTTAAGGGGTTAATTTTTTTACTTTCATTTTAGAAATAATTTATTCAATTTTTTTTCTTTTCTTTGATGAATTTTATGGAGATACGTGCCCACTTACATTATTACATTTGAAATTAATTTCATTTAGTTTTGTTTAATAAAGAGTGATTTTATTTTATTTTAATGTGTTTTATTTTATTTTATTTAACTGTGATTTTAATTGATTTTAGTATTTGTAAATTATTTATAATAATTTTATCACAAGAGAGTTGAAAATTTAAGATAAAACAATGTTAAAATAAATAAAATCGATCACAAATAACTTTAAAATATATAAACAGAATAATAATAATACAAAAATAATAAAAAAAATATTTTTTTAAAAACACCCTGTGCTTCTCTTACACGTAAGACCCACGCCTTTCCCTCTCTCTTTTTTCACGTGGGACCCACCACTCCTCTCTCTCTTTCTCTCGTGCCTCTTCTCAGAAATATTCCCCACCCCCTCTTGCACATGGGCCCCTCTGCTCTCTCTCTGTCTCTTCCCGACGAGAGATTAGGGCTGACAATCCGAGTAGCGACACGACGATACGATTCAAAATCCGCACGAAATTAATAGGTTTGGGTTTTTCTTAAATAGGTACGGGTCAAAATCAAGTCGAATCCGTGAAACACGATTAAATAATGTATTTATGTATATGAAGTTTGTGCAAGAGTTTTCATGTGTATCATACGCACAAGATCATCAGAAAGTGTATAGAAGTTTTTTTTTTTCCCTTGTATGAAGTTTGTACTAATTATGAAACAAGGGGTATGTGTTTCTTCCCTTGTTGAAGGCAAATTTGTGGTTTCTCGTGAGCGAAGATTTTGGGCTACGGTAACTGTGTTAAGATATCCTATATTGGTGCTTTACTAAGTTTTTGAATGATTATGGGCACATATATCTGGTTCCTGCTGATTTGATTGTTGGGCAATTTGTGTATGTGGTCCGTAAGAGGATAAAACTCGGTGCTGAGAAGGCCATCTTTATATTTGTGAAGAACATTTTGCCACCTACTGGTGAGAAAAGTAGCTTGTAAAAATACAACTTACTCCTGTCATCGCAATTATGTGAAACGATTTCCTTAACACATTCTATTTCATTTGTAGCTGCTATGATGTCTGCAATCTACGAGGAACACAAGGACGAGGATGGTTTTCTCTACATGACGTACAACGGAGAGAACACTTTTGGATCATTCTGAGTAAGTCAGGGTGAAAGTTTGTAAATAAGACTTTAAACAAGCGCTATGAAACTGTGTATATTAATTGCTTTCGCTCCTGTTTACGCTCGCGCAACTCCGAGAATTACTCTTCTTATGCTACTCAACTGTTAATAACAATTGTATCTATACTTCTATGCTGGAAATATTTCGTTGTTAGTCATTTTATGCATGAATAAAGCTTTGTGAAGTTTCTGTTTTATTCCACTATCCAAGTCGAATAAAACCTTTCATTGTCCGACTAATTTTGGTTTCTTTGCTGGTCGTCGAAATGATTGTTTACACTTTTTTCAAATTCCCCTCATTCTTTGAAATATTTGTGTTACATTTGAATTAAAATGTTAAACACTTTGAGTTCTTGATTCATTTCGTAGCTCACTTAAAACGAAGACAGTTGAAGTACTTGTTTATACCAGAGATTGATTATACGGAGACAAAGGTGGTTTCAAACTTATTTAAATTATGTATATTTCCTATATTGATTTTGAACTAACTTGTATCTATATATATTTATTTTCGTGTAGATTTCAATGAAGAGGTGGGGATCTTACGCAAGATATCTTCAACTTTTCATTGCAAGATATCTTCACCTTTTCATTGCAAGATATCTTCAACTTTTCATTGAAAGAAGCGGAGCCTTTCTCACAGGGATCAACTTCTCCTGAACGTAATGATGTACTTGGAGTTCCCCCATTGCAACAAATTATTTAAATGTTTAATTATTAATCATGTATTTTTGTTTGCTAATTTATGAGACTTTTATGTGTTTATTTTTTAATTTGTGAGAGACTTTCATGTGTTTGTTTTAATTTTGAACTTAGATTATGTAATGTCTCTACATCGTGTTAAACAGGTTGAGAAACATGTTCAGAAATAGGTTCAAAAATAGGTTAATACGACCCATTAATTACTTGTTTCATAAACGTGTTGACAGGTAATTAACGGGTTGACACGACACGTTTACGACCTGTTTCATAAACATGTTGGCAGGTAATCAACGGGTTGACACGACACGTTTACGATCTGTTTAATAAATGGGTTAATCGTGTCGTGTCGTGTCAACCCGTTAATAAACAGGTCGTGTTTGGGTTTTGTATTTTGACACGATTAATAAACGGTCGTGTTCGTCTCAAATCTATTCATGTCAACTGAGAGATTTAATACGACACGAATACGACCCGTTAACACGAATTGCCACCCCTACCTTCATTCTAATTCTCAAACTTAGTTCTAAAAAAAAAAAAAAAAACTGAGGAATCGTGGCTTTAAAAAATTTCCTAGACAAACACACATTCCCTTTTGATTCTAGGGAGAGAAAGTACTCTATGTGTACATATGTAGTGAAAGAGAAATGGCTAGCTTCAAATGGAGAATTTTTCGAGAGAGTGTCTCTGGATTCTAGAGGGAGAAATTAGAAAGCAATAGCATTTTAGATAGAGAAAGTGGAGATTACGAAGATACAATGCAATCAATCAAGAGAGTCAATAAAACAAAAATAGATACGTTTTCTACCCGAAAAAAAACTAAAATAGGAAAAATTTAATGACAACAAGGTTTTGTCAATGCAAGAAAAATGAATGTGGACAAGAATTGTGGTAAAGGGAGAAAAAAAAGAAAGTTTGACATTAGTGGTTCCGTTTTTTTCGCTGATTCGAGTTTAGAATTTGAATTTTGTTACAGTAAACAGCTTTCAGAAACAGTCATATTTAACTTTTTTATTATAGTAAAAAACTCTCACACAACATCACATATCAACTCGAATTAAAAACTCAAATTAACGAACCGAACGGGCCATATCTTCGGTCATTTTATAGGAATTTGTACTAATCATTTTGTTTTTAAAACGATCCATTTTTTTCATGGTCAGGTAGGACCCGCCCCGTCCCACGGCCCATTGGATTTTGACCCACCCCTGCCCCGTTAATTTGGTGGGGCGGGTTAGTGCAGGGCGGGTCCTACTGCAGGGCGGTGTGGGTGTGCGGAAAACCCGTCTCGCCCCGCCCCCTTGCAGGAAGAATGAGAAATCAGCTGATCATCTGTTTCTTCATTATGATTTAACCGTGCTATTCTTTAGGTGATTTAATTGGAAAGAGATCAAAGACTTTTTTCGAAGAGAAGGAATTGAAAAAAGAGGATCTCTTTGAGAAAGCAAAATTTTTGCCATCACTTTCCGTTTCGACAGATTCTGCATTAAGTTGGAAGGATATAATTAGTTAGGTTTGGGTGAAATTTTTGTATTGTTTTTATTTATTTATCTTTTTGTTAGTTTTGTTTGTTTAATCATTCTTGTTGCTTTTGTTTAGTTCTAAGGTGTTGGTGGATATCTCACCCAACTTCCCCCTCATACCCTTGTACCTTTTAGCTTTTATTCCCAATAAAGGTCTGAGTTTCTTATTAAAAAAAAAAATCTTTAAACTCTTTTTATTTTTAATTTTTTTTTGGGAATTTGTTAGCTCTTGACTTAAATTGCTACTTCATTTTGCGTTTGATTGTTGTTGATTTGGTATTTGCGGAACTCTTTATGGTTACGGCTTGAAGAGAGTAACTGACTACAGTTGAGAGATTGTCTTCATGAACTTTTAGATACGTTTAGAATTAGTTTTTAAATAATTTTTTTAATAAAAAAATATAAAAAAGATTGTTTTGAGAATAATATTGAGATCGATTCTAAAGTTACGTTTTGTTAGTTTTTTAAGATATCATTTTGAGTATAATAAAAAAGTGAAATCGTATTTATTAATTAATATATTATAATATTAAAAACAGAAAAATAAAAATAACTTTCAACTGTTTTCTAATTCTTTCACAAAAACTATTCTTATTGTTTTCGCTTTCAAAACATTTGCTAAACAAACGTCATTACGTTTTCATTTTCATCTTTTGCTTCTCGAAATACATAAAAACCATTTTTAAAAATGGTTCCAAACACACACTTTGATTTTGGTTTTCTTTTTAGGGTTATTGGCACAAATGGTCCCCAATCTATTTAGTAAGTAACGGTTTGGTCCCTAATGTCTTTTTTGGCAAGTTGACCCCCAACCGTTTAAAACAGGTGTACTCTGGTCATTTCTGTCAAGATCTGTCTAAAAGCTAACGGGAGAAGCCCACATGATCACCCACGTGACCCATATTGTTTGTGGAAAGACGAAATTGCCCACTTGAACTCTTCCGGCGACCAAGGACGAAATTGCCAAAAATCTAATCGGAGATGGTCGGAACTATTCCGGCGACCAATGACGGCAAACTTGGTATGGATTTGTTCAGCTCGACGAGAGGAGTCTAAATACACCACTTGTCGGAGGATTGGACGTCGGACGGCGCCGGAATCTGCGTTAGAAGGTGTTGTGGCCGGAAATTTTAAACTGAAATTTCAACCGATCGGCAGCGAATCGGGCGGCGAGGTGAGGGGGGTTTTGTAGATCAGCTCATGGGCCCTCTGTGTCCAGTCTCAATTCATGGTCGGTTAGCCGGAGGTGGCCGAAATCGACGGCGGCTCTCTTTTCTCTTCCGTCATGAGTTTTTCACTTTCTTTTCCTGGTTTACGTTGATTCATCGTGGAAAGATGGTGGAGACATATTGGGTAATTTAGGCCTTTTATGTGATTGTCTAAATTTTAATTTAGACTCTCAATTACAGAGCAATTATAGAGCAATTTCCCCCAATTTCAACCCCAAATTCTATTCTTCCACCGTATAAACCACCCCTAAATCAACTAAGGATGTGTTTTTACACATATACCCCAAGTTAAGGACGTGAGCTTCTCCCATTAGTTTTAGGACGGATCTAGACAGAAAGGACTAGATTGTACTTGTTTTAAACGGTTAAGGATCGATTTGTAAAAAAAAAATAATGGGGACTAAACTATCACTTACGAAATAGTTTGGGAATCATTTGTGTCAATAACCCTTCTTTTTATAATTATAACTATTTCTAATAGTAATGATTTATCTGCACTCATCTATAAAATAAACACATAAAGATGTGTATATGATTTCTATTTGCTTGGTCAATTGTTAATATTATGTAAGAGAAATAATTTTTCATATCATATTAGAGAGATTTTCATTTGATATTGTGTCCTAGAACTATTAATTCCCTTACACATATGTTGTACTTACTTTTAAGGTTTTACATACATATAAATAGCTATTTATACGTATAGGACCCCATCATTTTGCTGGATCTCACATTGCTATTATTGGACCGCAAAGGTCCCTTACCGGATTTTCTCCAATAATAGGTGAAAGTTCGGGCCGCCCGAAGTAGGACTAAAGACGCAAATGGAAATTTCGGGTCAAGTCGAGCCAGCCTTTAAAGGAGGATGGTTGGCCCAGCCCGACCCTAAAGCCCGATAGGCATAGGGCCGGGCCAGCCCGAAATTTAAAAGGTATTTTTAAAAAAATAATTTTAAAATGTATTCAGGTCGGGCCGGGTTTCGAGCTTGAAACTTAGGTCGGCTCGGCCCAGCCGAACACTTAAGCCGGTTGGTCCGTTTAACCCGGTCCAAACTTACAGCTCTATCTTGAGAATTTCTCCAAAACAATGCTCTGACATCTCATGCCCTTTCTCCAACAACTTGGAACTATCATTCTAACCAACTAACTGTTGAAGTAGGTGGATTGTGGCACATTTGCTGTCACATCTTCTTCCTTTTTTTTTGTAGTTTGTGAAGCAAATTTATTAATGAGGGTATGATGTATGGTATGAGAGAGTGCCTTACTTCTGTGGACAAAATCTATTTTTGTTTTGTTTTGTTGAAGGCCGTGTCTTCTTGCTCTCTCTATCTCTCTCCATATATGTATGTATAATGTATTGAAGTTACTGTAGAAAGCAAAAAACACATGTTGATATCCATTTTTTGCTCATCTGTTTTTGCTCTTCTATTGCTCTTAGTTCTTTAAGTTTGCTCTATCTATTATCTATTTCCATTTCCATCCTTTGCCCTTTCAAAAATCCAACAACTAGTATCAGCGCCCACTTGT